AAAAATAGAAAAGCTAATAAAGAAGAGAGGAAATAAAAAAAGAATCACATGAAAGCAGAAATTCCCATCAGAATTGGCCGCACTAAAGGGGGAAAGGCCCTGTGCAATGAGAACTACAAGGTGTTATTAAAGGACTTAGACAGCAACATAAGGAGATGGAAGCATGTCCTACACTTATGATGGGGAGAATTGATATAATCAACATGACTATTTTGTCTTAAAAGACCTATAACCCTAATGCAATCCTCATCAAAATACCAGCAATATTTTTTAAAATTATTGAACAAAAATTATTAAAATTTATATGTAACCCAGAAGACCTTGAATTGCAGAAGTAATGCTGAGTAAAATAAAGCTGGAAACAAAGATATCATTACCTGACTTCAAACTTTACTACAAAGCAACAGTGTAGGGTAAATGGTTTTCAGGCTTTTCTGCCCTCCCACCATTAGGATTGTCCTGCCTGATGGGGCACCTGCAGCTGTTACATTGTTGTAAGCTGTCTTACTTCTGTGGGCCTTGGCTCAGTATTGAGATAGTCACCAAGAGAAGCAGAGGCAGGAGAAAGAAGGGGAGAAAGAAGCCAGAGAAGCCCAGAGTGAAGACTTGCCAGGGGCTTGGAGGCCTGCCAGCCCCCTGGTCCCCTGGAACTCTGTCTGCCATGTACCTGGTTGTTGCACCACATGTAAAAGCTCAATAAAAGCCTGAGAAACCCACTGAGGGCTCCAGGATTCGCCTTTACCCGTTTGCCAGATCAGAGAAAACCTGCTCTGTGCCTATCCTGCTGGTATAAACAGTATTTTTTGGGGAAAAAAAAAGTTATGTATTGGTGAAAAAATAGATACATGGTAGTTTAATAAAATTTAGATATTACTGCCTGTGTCATATGCCTAAAAAAAATAGATACATAGATCATTGGATTAGAATTCAAAGCCCAGAATAAACCCATGTCAGTATTTAATCTATGATAAAGCAGCTATGACTTTGATTGGGAAAAATTTAGTCTCTAGAATAAATAGTGCTGGGACAATTGGAAAGCCAAACGTAAAAGAATGACCATGGGCCACTCTAACTCTATGTGTAAAAACTCCAAACGGTTGAAATATTTAGATGTAAGTCTGCAACAATTAAAGATATAGAAGAAAACACAGGCAATAAATGGTCCATGACATCGGCATATAGTTGTTTTTGGAGACTCCACCACTAAAGCAAGGAAAACAAACTGTTGGGATCACTTCAAGTTAAAAAGATTTTACAGAGCAAAGGAAAATACAAGAATATTAGAAAGACATCCAATTGAATGGGAGAAAGTGGATCAAGAAAAGGTGACATATCCACAGTGTGGAATACTATTCAGCCATTAGCAAAGATGGAATGCAGCCATTTTCAGCAAAATGGAGGGATTCTGAGAGAATTATGTGCAGTAAAGCCCACCAGAATTATGAAACAAATAGACATTTATACAGTAGACATTTTGGTAAAGCATAATACAAAAACGCTAGAAGACACCAACCAACACCAGGAGAGCCCTGAGATTAAGGGGGAGGGAGTATGGGTTGTGGGCCCAGGGGATATAAGGGGTGGTGGTGGTAGTGGTGGGGGTAGCTTGTATGGTCCCTGGGTCTGGATATTGATAAATATCAATTAGGGAATTTATTGTCACATTGTAAAGCCTCTAATGTTTCATTAAAGAGAAGAAAATAGAAATAAATACAAGTATAAACATTTGAAGTCAGTATTTGTCATTGCTATAAGCATAACAGATTATCTGGAAACATACTTATGTGATGGTAATTTTTTCATACAGTTTTAATAGCTATAAATCCCATACCTTGTAAAAGTTTCTAGAGAAATTTAAGAGAGAGAGAGAGAGAGAGAGAGGCGATGTCCATGGTAGCAAAGCCTAACAGGACCTGGGTATGAGTTTATGCTGCCATTTCCAGTGGTGACTTGTGGCCTGGGCCTGTGGTCCTCTGTGTTGTGGCTTCTCAACTTTGACTAACAGTGTTTTGGTGGGAGGTTAAATGGATTGTTATGTATAAGGACCAGATAATTAGGAGGTTTTAGTAAATATTTTAGTCAAATATTTCTTTTTGAGATATTCTTGCTAGGTTTATCTTCTTTGTAAAACATTTTTAGTTGCATTTTAGCAACAAAAAAGTTATAACTAACTCAAAGGAGTTAATCAATCTACAGACGTGGTGGAAGTCTGCCGGCTGTACCCCAGCTGGGGAGTTTCTGAGACTGGAAGGACAGACTCTGTATTAGCACAAGGAAAGATGTTGTCAGTTGTTTTTCCTTCTCTATTTGCTCTGCCCATTTCTCCTCCTGTTCACTTTGAAGTTCTGTTTTCCTCTGTATCCAATTCTATGCTCTTTTTCCCATTCATTCATTCATTCTCATTTTATTGATTTACCCCTAGTTTACATAACAATACAATTTTGGGAGTACAACTTCACACCTCCGCATGTTAACATACTCACCTTCCCTGAAAACTCCTTGCCACAACCCTGTCATCTTTCCTTCCCTAATTCCTGACCCTCCTGACCATTCCTTCTGGTAAACCAGTACATTCCATAAATGAGTGAGATCATCTGGTATTTGTCTTTCATTTTCTAAGTTATTCCACATAGCATCATATCTTCAAGATCCATCCATTTTGTATCCAAAGGCACTATTTCATCTTTTTAAGTAGACAGTTAGTATCCCATTGAGTGTACTGTCCCATTGAGTGTATTGTTTTTTATGCGGTTGTCTGTCAGTTGACACTCAGGTAGGCACCGTGTCCTGGCTGTGAATAATGTTGCCATAAACCTAAGAGTGCACGGATCTTAGTATTCTCATATTCTGTGGATAAATAGCTAGTAGCGGTATTGCTGGGTCATATGGGATTTCCATTTATTTTTTTGAGGAATCTCCTTCCTGTTTTCCATCAAGCCCGCACTACATTACATTCCCACCAACAGTGCATGAGACTTCCTTTTTCCCCACATCCTTAACATTTGCTGTTTCCAGTCTTTTGGCTATGAGCCATCCTCACAGGAGTGAGGTGGTATCTCATTGTGGTTTTGATTTGTATTTCCCCTGTAATAAGTGATTTCAGCATTTTTCTCATGACCCTGCAGGTCATTTTTGATTGGGTTGGTTGTTTTTGTTATTGAGTTGTATGAATTCTCTATATTTTGGAAATTAACCCCTTGTCAGAAACGTCATGTGCAAATATCTTCTCCTAGTTGCCTTTTGTTTTTGATTTGTCTATGGGTAGAAATAACATGTCCCATAGTTTCCCTTCCTAATGCTTTATCACCCTGAGGTGTTATAGTTCCTTCTGGCTGGCTATTTCATGCACATATAAAACACCACCAAGCACTTCCAGTAGCAGGATTAGTAGGGACTAGATGACAGATTTGATTCCACATTGAGAAGCTGTGGGGATGCAGCAGCCGGAGCAGTGACCTTATCCAGGGGCACCTCACTGAGCAGAGGTGAAAGAGCAAGTCTGCTACACAGAGAGTAGGCGAGGGGTAAGTCCTTGTTTATGCCCGGCATTTTAACTTTCTTAGGCCAAGATAAAGATAGTAGATCCACTGCAGTCTGGCTACTCAGAGTGTGGTCAAAGGACTGGCAGCATCAGTTTCATAGAGAATTTGTTAGAAATGCAGACTCTCAGTCCCAGCACCAGACTTAACAGGATCAGGATTTGCATTTCAAGAAGATCCCCAGAGCATCTGCTAATGTACTGAAATTCCAGAAGCATGGCTCTTGGATCATTGTTCTCAGAATGTGACCCAAACATGAATGGAACTCTTCATAGAAGTTAAGTTTGCAAGTCCCAGAGGTAGTACTTTTGGGCAGGAAATTACAAGTCCCTGGGTTCTCCTGCTCACTAAGGCTTAAGGGCTACTGCCTTAGCTGATGGGAAAGTGAGTGGTGACCGTTAGGAATTGGACGTACAAGCCGCAACTTCAGTGGAGCCAACTCCCCTGAGCACAGATCTCGTGTTGTCCTCAAGGTCCCATGAATGTGATGGCAGGAAGGCTGCCACGTCTGTCCGTCACCCATGGCCCGCTGAGGTCAGGACCAGCCACTGTGCTGGGGCCCTGATGAGCGCTGCGTCCTGCAGGCTGAGACAAGGGGCCTGAGCTCATGTTTCCTCTCAGCTTGACGTGGGCTCTGTAGCCTTAAAAACACCTTTCTCCAAGGTTCCCTCTCCGGATTTATTCTATTAACCTGCTTTAAATTGAAGCGTTTTTCCGTCTGTCCTCTCTCATCAGCCCTGAGGGCAAATCCAGGCTTCCTTACTTGGAATTAAGTCCTGGGCTCCAGCTCAGTGGCCTGGACCCCGCGCTGCAGCTTAGGCGGGGCAGTTCTCTGTCCCGGCCTGGGTCTGCTGTACACCCTTTCCAGCCCCACGATGTCCTACTGTCTGCAGCTGCTCGCCCTCCTGTCTGCTGGGCGCTGGGCACAAGGCTGCAGTGGGGCATGGCAGGTAGGGAGACACAGGCTGAAACCAGAGAGAAGGCAGGCTGGGGCTACCTCTGCATAAAGACCCTCCAAGCTGTGTGACATGTGAAATAATCCTCCTTATCAAGAATTACGTGTGGTGGGATCTACCTTGGCTGCATTACTGTCGGGAGGATGTAAAACCAAGTATGAAAGGCCCTGCAGGGTACAGTAAACTGTGACTCATTTGTCTTGGACATGTAGGGGTCATTTCAGTACATGAATAATCTCCCCCAAAGTTACAAATATTCTCCCTTAAGTTCTTTTCATGATTCTCCTTCCCGTTTGACCTTAGTCATATTATTAATTTAGAAATGTCACTAGTTCTCATTGTCTCCAGATATTTCATTATTCTTCTATCAGGTTGGATTCCCACATTATCCAATGGAAGATACCATGTACTGACTGAGCTTTAGTGATGTGGCACTCTTTCAGTTCCCTCACCTCACACCAGTTTATAAAATCAAAATCCATAGGAAATATAAAATATAATTTTTTTCTGAAGATCATTGCATTATTTCCCTGTAGACTCTCAGAACGACTCTGAGGGACACTCGGGTCTCAGGAGGCTCCTCTCTCCTGGGCCTGTGGGGATCCAGCACGAGAACTTTCCATAGAGTGGGGAGGGAGGTGCCCACCAGCTCCCCAGGGTCCATCACTCAGGGAGGAGGAGAAATCTCCTCAGGTTAAGGCCCAGGTGTGACTCATGCTCTTTAGCTCACCAGGAGTTTCACCTCGGGGTCCTGGTGCTTGTTCCTACTGCTGAAACTGCTCCCAGATTTTCCTGGTGTTGCTCCCAGCCAAAGGACATGGCCTCTGGAAGAAGAAATGGAGGGTTGGTCACTGTGCAGGGAGATTCACTTCAAAGGAGAAGAGACAGAAATCTGCCCGGAGGGACCCTGCCTTTAGGTGACCCCATTATGGCAGCTTCCTGCTTCCAGCTCATGAAGTTGATTGAACTTTGTTGTCCATGTGGAGTCATTTTGAAAAACTGTAGAGTGTGATGCAGCAAAGAGCAAGAATCATAAAAACTTGCTTTTAAGGAAAACTGCAGTTATATATATATATATATATATATAATATATATATATATATCTCCTGACTCTACTCCTAACTGTACAACCTTGAATAAATCACGTAAAATTTCTCCAAACTCAGGATTATCATAAGTTAAATCAGGGATAAAAACGCATGTGAGCATACTGAGGACACAGCTATGGGACTGGAAACTGTAATCCCTTCCACCTGAGGGAAAGAAAGGATAGTAATTCAGTGACCCCTACACACCCTCTCCTAGGGTGAGAGGGTCCCCAAGCCTGAGAGACCCTCCTGCTCTCATTTGTGAGGGGCTTGATGGACAGACCCTCCTCCCTGACAAACTAAGGAAATAGGATGAGGGAAACGGGAGAACCAGGATCATTTCTAGAACCAACAAGTGGACACTGAGGGCAGGGAGAGAGCTGGAGCCAACTGGCTTCTTGCTACTGACCCAGAACCAGCCCCCATCAGGGCCGTGCTGGCTCAGGACAGTCCTCCCTGGACAGGCTGGTCCCAGCGTCCAGCAGGAGCAACAGGGGCCACGGTCCCTGTGCAGGGGCGCCTGCACCCCTGCTTTGCCTTTGGTTTGTTCAATAAGTGGATGAAACCCCATATTTTAAGACTCAGTTAGAGTTTGCCATTTTCACTGAAAATACACCTGATGAACATTTCAGAGTCACACTTTTTCTAGAAATAACAGTGCTTTTGTTTGCCCACACAGCCCACCTCACGTAAAGCCCTGTCTCGTCAGGGCTAGTGTGTCCTTTCCTTATCTGTCCAGTGATGCTTCCTTTACCCCCAGAAATCTCAAGAGGATCTTGGGGTGTGTGTGACATCTCAGACCAACCCTGAAGCTCCTCTGTCCTGCAGGTGGAGCCATTGTGATGCTTCTGCTCCTGAGAGTTTTAGGAAGGAAGTGATTCTGCATCCAAGAGTCATTTTTATGAACATAATCCAGGGCTGACAGAGATGCTGGTGTTGCATGCAGGACTGCGTTGAAAATGCAGGAGTTCATCTTTCTAGATTAGTGCTCAAGTTATTTCTTTTTTTAAAGATTTATTTATTTATTTATACAAGCACTGGGTACAGTCAGAAGCGCGGGAGGGTGAGAGAATTCACCAGAGCCAGAGCGGGGAGCAGAGCAGGCAGAAGGACTGAAGTACACTGCTGAGGGGAGCAGCGGGCGGCAGACGAGGTCTGTGCGCCATGTGGGACCCTCCTCCAGAGGCCGGGGAGCAGCTGGGGATCGAACCGGCACTGCAGAGGCTGCAGGCAGCTTCCCAACCCAGTGCTCAACCGTTGCGCCACCGGGGAGGCCTAGTGCTCAAGTTAATCATAGAGCAAGTCATTGAAGATTTGTCCCAATTTTAGACAAGACAATAAAAGACTTTACATATCTCCTAAAACCTAGAATGTTCAACTTTTATAGCACTGGGTGACATTTATGCTTGAGATATTTGCAAAAACACTCTCAGGAATTACTGTCATCCTGGAAATAGAAAATAACTTTTCCTGTGCTCCTCACAAAGAACCGCAAATCTGACCAGGACCCAGTGGGGCTGCTGTTCCCTCTTGGGTGCTCCTGGCAGCGTGGACAGCACATTGCCCTTGGTGGATCTGAGAGTGACTCGGCTGTGACAGGCCTGGCAGAAGCTGTGGCCACAGGAGATGCTCCCCGGGCCCCTGTCTCTAGGTAGACGCTACAGATCCCCTCTGCTAGGAGGGTCCAGTTGTGGCCCCGAGGTCATGACTGTCCTACAAGGTAGGTGAGGAAGGGGAACAAAATGGAGGAAGAGATGATGCTCAGGGAGGAGGTGACCACACCTGCCCTGGTCAGGCCGCAGGAGCCTCCTCCCTGCCCCGCGCACTCTCACCTTCTCCCGTCTCTGCTCCCCACGGCGCCTCAGGCCTTTCTCAACATGGACCCTCACCTGCCTTCTCTGCTCCCCACACCAGGCAGGGAGGGCTCACAGGGCCTGTCATCACCTCCACTTTCTCCCCCACCCCCTTTCCCCACAGCCAGGAGAGCAGACAGGGGCTGAGTGTCCACGATGTGCCAGGCCCTGAGGTGAGACTCACAGGCATCATCTCCCCGTCCTCACCGTGTCCCTAACCTCACCTCACACAGGTGAGGAAACTGAGGGTCTGGTGGGGAGTCCCTGTGTGGGTCCCACCTGCGTGCTGTGGTGGGGGCAGGAAGAGCTGGAGTCCAGGCCCAGGGCGAGGCCCACACCCCTTACCACCCGCTGCTGCGGCTCCAGCTCCTGCCCATGCCCAGGCCTGGACCCACCTGCGCCCAACACCCAGGACCCTCACCCTGTCTCCTCAGGGTCACTGACCTCCCTGTCACCTCCTGCTCCCCTGGGGCTCAGGGCACCTGTCACCTCCTCAGGGAGGAGGTCCAGCGGCTCCCAGGTCAGGGCCCCCTCTCTCTGTGCTCCCCGGGCCCATCTCCAGCTGGACTCTGAGTTATAGACACACAGAGTCCTGGGATTCCTCACTCTGCACTGCAGTGCCTGGCGGGTAGCACCCCAATATATGTCATTTGAGTCAAGAAATTAAGACAGTTACACAAAAAGCAGCTCAGGAGGACTCTTGTTTCTGGTAATGACCAGTTAGAACGTTTCCATCAAACACATACTGAAAACAACGTCTCTTGGTGGCGTTTACCTTCCTTAGGAACACAAAGATTTCAGATATTTCAAGGGCTATTATGTGAAGATTTATCCTTATTCTGTTTGAACCCAGAGGTCAGAACCTGGTCATGTCTGCAGCAGTCTCAGGCCCAGCCTCTGTCATCACCTCCTCTCTCCTCTCATCTCCCTCCATCACAAGAACAGCATCAGGAGGAATTTTTAAATTCAACTTAATCACATATGGCTGCCTGGGCAGGTAGTGGGCGCCGTCACTAAGAGGACCCAACCCTCACTCTGGATGTTTCCAGGGGATGTGACCACACTGAGGCCTCAGCCCCCTCAGCTCTGAGCCCCTTCCTCACTGCAGCTGCCACATAGGGGGTACCTAGGCCCAAATGTTTATTTGTTTGGTGTTTGTCTTTTGATTCTGCTTTTATTGCCTTGAGTTAACGTTTTCTCCCTCTCCTACAATTTTCTACTTCACATCATTATAACCACAAAAAATAGAACATTTACAGTAAAAAGGAAAACACTTACCTCCAGTCCTGGTAGCTAATGTGGTAACAACACTCTTTTTCTGCCTCCTCTTCTGTGTGGACCAGGACAGTCATCCTGAGCACAGCGGTGAGGAAGGGAGGGAGGAGGTGGGGGAACCAGCCTGGGTTTATCTGAGATCCTCTTCCTGCTGCACATGGAGGGTGAACCTGGGGAGGTGGGAGAGCCCCAGAAATGAAAAACAATCATTTCACCCACTCCCACATTACACCTTCCTCCAGGAGCTTAGGTAGACCCTGTTCCATCTCTCCCTCCCTGCCTGGACTGTGGACAAAGGCTCAGCTCAGGAACTGGGGTGACCTGGGCTAATCCCCCCTGGGCCAGGCCAGCTGGGCACACACTCCTCCCTTCCCCTGTGGGACTCCCTCCAGCTCTGCTCTAGATAGAAAGTAGCTGCAGCCCAGGAGGAAGTGACCCCCTGGGAAAAAGGGGCCGTCAGGCTGGAGCTCCCTGACTCCAAAGGGATGAGCCTGGAGTGAGCATTAGAGGAGGAGAGAGGAGCTGTCGGGGGGCTGCCCCCACAGCACGGCAGGGTCCCACCCAGGCTCCTTACATCTAACCATGAGAATAGTCCCAACCCCCCTCCTGTCTCCAGATCCTCTGATGCCTCAAGTCCTGCTCCAACCTGCTTCTCCATGGAACTGAACTTATTGGGGAGTTGTCTGACACTCCAGTCTGTGGGATTTGAATTCATTTATGCTGGAGCTTGATGTGCAATGTCCTCCCATTGCCCTATGATGTCTGCCCTGTTTCTCCTATCTCATACACACTCTCTCTCTCTCTCTCTCTCTCTCTCTCTCTCTCTCTCTCTCCTCCTTGGGAACCAGATCCTCTCTCAGCACTGGGGTTACTCTGACCCTCTGTCTCTGGTCCCCTCAGAGCCGCCCTCTCTGCAGTGTCTACTCAGCGGTGTCTGAGCAGCCCCAGGAGTCCCTGCACCTCCTGCCTCTGACCTTGTGGGAAACCAGCCCCTCACCCTACATGACAGTGAGGAGGCGAAGGCAAAGTCCTGAGGTCAGTGACTGATGGAGAAGACAAGGTACTTTCTTTTCTTGTTTTAAAATGATTTTTTTTATTACTGTAGTTTTTGAGATAACACGCATTTACACACTGTACATGATTCAAAGTGGGGACTCACCTCCTCAGATGCAGGTTCCCTCACACCCCACCTCCAATGTACCCATAATCCTCTTCTTTGTTCGTCTGGGCCTTCTTACTTCTTTTGCTCCCCAACCTCAACCCCCTCTGGTGCCTCAGTTCAGCAGCCAGACTCCAAGTTCAGGTGAGGTTTTATCTGTTCCTTTGCTGGGCATCTGTATATTACACATATGAATCATATCATCTGGTATTTGTGGTTCTCCTGATTTGTTTCACTTTGCAAAGTTTCCCATATCCATCCATGTTGTTTTAAATTCAAGATTTCATCTTTTTCACAGCTGTGTACATGCCACAATACTTACACCCATCTATTTTATGCACATAGATTGTTTCCATAGTTTGGCTATTATAACTATTGTTGCAGTGAGCACAAGAGTGCACATATCCCTTGAAATGAGCTTTTTGCATTCTTTGGATAAATCCCAAGGAGTGGAATTCTGGGTCATCTGGCAGATCTATTTTTAATATTTTGAGGAAACGCAATACTGTTTTCCATCGGGGCTGGACCAGATCCCAAGATAGTATATGAAGGTTCCTTTCCCCACACCATGCCAACACTTGTCTCTGGTCTTTTTAATATGAGCTTTCTCAAATGTGTGAGGTGGTGTCTCATTGTGGTTCTGATCTGCTGCCCTGATGATGTGTGATGGGAGCATTTTCCATATGACTGTGGCCATCTTTTTCATCTTTAAAAAAGTTCCCACTTAGCCCCTCTCCCCATTTTTTGATTTTTTTTTTTGAGTTATATGTATTATTTGTATATTTTGGCTTATATGTAAATATTTTCTCCCACCCCATCGAGACAGTTTGCTTCACTGGGCAGGGGCTTGCAGTTTGATGTGTCTCCACTGGTCTGTCTTTGCTTCTGTTTCCTTGGAGCACAGACGACATCGAGGGCAGCGAGTCTGCTGTGCAGGACACACTATGGTGTCCATGTCATTGCACATTTGTCTAAAACCCACAGCATGGACACCGCCAAGAATGTGTCCCCAGCGTGCAGTCACGGGCCATGAGAGATGATGATGAGCAGGTTCTTCATGTGACAGACGTGCTGCTCCGGGCTTAGCATGTGATTAGGACAGAATGCAGTTGAAAGGGTTTTAGTAGGATTTAATTTTGAAAATATTATTTCATGAGGACAGAAGAAAAGCTGGAAACCTCACACACAGGGCAGGCTCCGGAGTCTCCTCTCCTCTGAGCCCTGCTGCTCTGACTCCTCACAGAGCATCTCACCCCAGGACAGGACTCTGCCCTCCAGGACCCCCAACTCTGCCCAGCTCACACCCCGCCCTGTCCTGGCGGCTCCACCAGAATCTGGAACAGTGCGGCAGCGCCCCCGTGTGGCCACAGGGCTGAGCGCAGGAGACCAGAGCCGCCCTTTCTCCTGCTCAGCCAGGCCCTCCCCAGGCTCCCTGGGCTCCCAGCAGCAGGACAAGGTCCACTGTCACTTGTTAGGGGTCCTCAAATTGACCCCCTAGTGAGTAACTATGGGTACAGGCCTCAGGGAAGAGCCAAGTGTGTAGGTCATAACAGTTACTCCTCCAGTTCTGGGTCCCCAAATTATAGTTTCTCTCAATCTCTTTGGATGGGAACTTGGACTCCAGAGTCCCTGTTATCTGTTCCTGCTTCCAGGGATGAAAGTGCCTCTTCCTGAGCATCAGCCCCAAATTCTCCATCCCTAGGGTGAGGAGAGGGCCAAGTAACAGACTCTCAGGCTCTGTTCTAGACCTTCTGAGTCTTTATGACTTCTGTGGTTGCTGAAGGTGGACTCCCTGGTCTCTGGGTCTTCTCCATGTGGGGTCAGACTGTGCAGTCGGCTTTGGGGGTGTCTGCTGTGATTGTTCATCACTGTGGAATGTGGGGTTCAATTCTGCTCCTTTCTTTTGTTTGTCTCACTTTCTGGGTGACCCTTACATGCTGAGGACTTTAAATATCATTGACATCACATCACCTCCTGTTAGGAGTTGGTGCCTCAACTCCGTCCGGGGTTCCCAAAGACCACATGGAGCCAGAGATGCAAAAGCAAAAAGACTTTATTGCTAGCTTAAGCTAGGGCCCAACTCTGCCTGGTGTACTGACACAGCAGTCTCATCAGGTTAAGAGAGGGACCCCCTCCCAGAGCAACCAGCTGTTTTTGTACTTTGTTGACAGGATGCGGGGACTTTTCACACCTGGGGCAGGGTCCACCCTGATTGGATAGTTCTCATGGTGCCAGCTAGGTTTCATTTACCCTTGGCTTGTGGTTTTTGCCCCGAAACGAAACTAGCTATGCCCTTTTGAGATGACAGTTATTTCTCAAAATGGCTGCAGTCTTGTTCATCTTACACTCCCAGATCTATTTCCTACCTCAGACATTTCACCTGTGCCCCAGACTTGTCTGTCCAACTGCCAACATCACTTTCAATTCTAATAGATCTGATTCAACTTTCCTAAATTGAATGCCTGGGATGCCCACATATGTGTCTTCTGGGGCCTTCCCCATGTCACTGAGGCTCCACCTCTCTGCCTGCACAGTCTGAGACACCAAGTGTCATTCTTGACCCCCTTTCTCACAGCCCAGCAGTAGGAAACACTGTAAAGTCCATGTCTACATATGCACAGTCCTGTCACTGCCTGTTATTTCCCTGCTCACCCCAACGAGCCACCAACCTCTCTGTCCTGGGACCTGCACTGGTTTCCCCCATTTCTCTTCCCACCTCTCACCCTTCCATGCTGCACAGCAGCCAGACTGAGCTACCAGAGAGAAGTCCCACAGGTGTGTATCTGTTCAGAAGGTCTTGTCACCCCACATCTTACTCAGAGTCAAACCCTCCCAACATCCTCAGGCCTGAATGACCTGGGTGCACACAGATCCCATCTCCATTGGCCTCTGCTCAGCCCTTGGCCTCCTTGCTCATGTCAGTCCCACAAACACATTCCTGCTCGGGCATCTGCACTGGAGGTTGTCCTGCCTGGGCTGAACTTCCCTGCACATCGCATCCCTGTGGGCAACGTGTCCATCAAATTTTTTCTCAAAGGTCACTTCAGTGAGACCCACACTGACCACGCTGGGAAGAAAACCATCCTGTCTCCTTCCCAGCCCTTACCCACTTCTAACCAGACACGCATGGGTTACTGTCTGATCTGCTGTCACACAGTCCCCATCTCCCCTCCCCACTAGAACACACTCTCCACAGGCTACGAGTTGTGCATGTTTTTGGTTTATTGAAGTTTCCTAGTTGCATAGTCAGTCACACATCTGGTGCAACAGTTGTCAGTTGGATCAGTGCAGCACCTCCCTGTGCTAGAGACAGTGTCTATACTAAAGTGGTACATTACACAGGTCTATTCCTTTTGAAAACTGGTTCCTAGTTTGTTTTACTTTCATGATTTATTATTTTTGCATAGAAGAACTGGTGTATAGGTGAGAAGTGCAGGTGTGGGTTGGTGAGAGATTCACTAGAGACAGAGTAGGGAGCAAAACAGTCAGATAAACTGAAATGCTTTGCTAAGGGGAGCAGCAGGTGGAATAGGAGATGTCTGCTGTGCTATATGTGGGTTCGCTACCAAATGGGATTGAACTCGGGTGTAGAGGTGACAGCGCTGAGACTTAACCCCTGGGCCATGAGGGAAGCCCGGGTTCCTAGGCTTATGGGTCCTATTTTTCAGCCAACTATGAAGGTAACTGACTCCATCAACCCATGGGTCTTGATTAGCACCAGCACTGGGGTTACTACATTGAAGGGCAGGGTTACAGGGAGATTCTGTAGGGAAAATAGAAATCAGACACTTATCTAAATCCATTAAGAAATTATCAACTCCGGGCCTCCCCGGTGGCGCAGCGGTTGAGCGCTGGGTTGCGAAGCTGCCCGCGGCCCCTGCGGCGCCGGTTCAATCCCCGGCTGCTCCCCGGCCACCAGAGGAGGGTCCCACATGGCGCGCAGACCTCTCCTGCCGCCCGCTGCTCCCCTCAGCAGTGTACTTCGGTCCTTCTGCCTGCTCTGCTCCCCGCTCTGGCTCTGGTGAATTCTCTCACCCTCCCGCGCTTCTGACTGTACCCAGTGCTTGTATAAAACAAACAAACAAATAAATAAATCTTTAAAAAAAAAAAAAAAAGAAATTATCAACTCCTCCTCTCTAGTAATACCAGGATTTTGTTCTTTAAAAAAAGTTGTGAAAGGTGGAAATAAGAATCCAGAAAACAGTCCTAAAATGAGGCCAACAATCAGATGAGTCTGGAAATTAATCTCTCACCAGACTCCTGTGCGCAGGGGACACCCTGGGCCTTGTTGGGACAATGACAGATGCTCCTGCTGCTGTCAGGGACAGGGAACAAGGGGACATGAGGCCTGATCACTAGACATCAAAAAGAACAGGCATAAAGCAAAAACAAACCAAAGCAGCAAAATAGGAATACACAGAAAGGCTAGATCCTGAGCTGAGCCTGAGCTGACCAGGCCACACAAGCACTCCCTGCCCAGACATGACAGCACAGGCCAGGTGGGGTCTGAGTCCCTGTGACCACAGACCCTGCTGGGACAGGTGCTCCTGAAGGACAAGGACAAAGGAGCAGAGAGATGACCCCTGAGGAGAGACCATGTCAAAGCCCACAATGCACTGAGCACCAACTGGTTCCTCAGTGCCCTGTCCCCTCGGTTCCTCACAGCCTCTCCTGCCCCCACCTGCAGAGACTCAGAACAGCAAACACGTGATTCTGGAAGGTTTCCCATTTATTTCATTTCAAATTTTAGGAATCATTTTTATTAGCCCACCAAACCCATCAGGCAAGCTTTCAAAAAGTAATTTCAGAACTCAATTATTATTTCAAGAGGGAAGTAGTTACTATTCTTGAGGAAAATACAAAGACAGGGTAGGCACAGACCAAACTGCTGCTGCTGGAGCAGAGAAAGCATCAAGGAGAGACACAGGTCAGTGTGGGGAGGCGCCTGGTGGGCAGGGCTGGGCCAGTCTCCCCACCTCCTCACATTATCTCATATGAACAGAGACACAGTCAGATGCCCTTTTGCAGCAAAGGAAACCCAAGGATCTTGAAGTTACAAAGTGGGGATGAGAAGACATCCTGCATCACTCAGCCCCCAGAAGGCAGCTGGCTCACATTGTAAAGGAAAAGGATCATTAAAAAAAATTCAAAGAAACACGTAATTGTCGACATTCTCAATTGTCCACCGCACCCTCAGAATGTCCTCCTCACAGCTTCCCCATAACCTGGTCCCATCCTCTCTGCCCCAGCCCCACCCACCGCAGGCCTCCAGGGTCCTACCTTTAGGGGCTGAGAGACACATCAGAACCCTGGGAACTGTTGCTGCCTGGGGGAGAACAAAACAGAACCTGGTCAGAGCCACAGAGATGAGACCACAGGGGGACTGATGGGGTTGACTCCCCCATGGGCTCCCTCAACACTGTTCCAGGGCTCAGGGGCCAAATTCCTGATCCACACTTACCGGCAGCCTGAGTGTAGCTTCCTCCTTGTCCTCCTGTGGGAAGAAGCATCATGTGAGACCAGGGAGGAGTTAGGCCATGAAGTCCTAAAGGAATCCCCAAGTCTGCACCACAGGGAAGTTTCCAGAACTGCGACTGGACACTTAGGGCAGCAGCAGGAAATATGAAGAAAGGAGATGAGGAGGGACTGGACCAACTGCATCCTGGGGTTTGCCCTCAGCAGGGACATTCCCCTCTGCCATTTGCTGGAATCAGGGCCCCAGCACCAGAATTATCTGCTGCAGGAGGCCTTGTTGCCCCAGCCAGATAAGACACTGGCAAGCAGCGAAGCTAAAGGGCCTCACACCGTGGGGCTGAAGATTCCTTGTGCCTCACACCGAGGGGCTGAAGATTTAACATCCCTTTATTTTTTGTTCTTGATCATAAAAGAGAAAAATTTATCAGAAAGTACATTAGGCAATAAATTATAAGCATCAGTATATTGCAAATAAGTGGCACAGAAAATTATCTGTCTAGAAATTAGTTATTAAACAATTTGGCCCACTTAACAATGGGAGACAATTTATTGTATATATCTGACAAGCAATCCAGCATAACAATTATAGTAAATCCTTCTTTTGTTTTTTAGAAGTTTCCTTTTTATTTAGAAGTTTCTTAGGAAAGTTTTTAAATGAAATTAACTGTGTTAAGAAGTTTCTGGGTAGAAAAAGTTCTGATAGCTGAGCAGCAGCTGGTCTCCGGCTGAAGGCCGTATGAATAGAAGAATCTTTTGATGCTTAGGCTTTAGCTGATAGGGATGCACTGGCAGCTATCCACTGTCTTAAGTAATTGTCTAGCTGAAATAGTAAGTTTTAGTGTTAGGTTTGGTTTTTTATCTATCAACCTTGAAGGCTACCGTCTAGCTGGACCCGTAGGAGCCAGTAGTCCATGGGAATAAATACACTAATTTTTCTGCTTTTCACATGACAATGTATTTTTTTTTTCTGCTTACTAAAAATGAATAAATAAAGACCTGCTGAGCCTCTCAGCAGAAGATACTAGCACCTCACCAAGTGTCAGTGTCTCCTCATTCTACCTCATCCCCTTCCCCTCAGCCCTTAAGTTTCAGCCCCTTACAGGTCGCCTAGGCTGTCTCATCCTCTCAGGTACCCCTGACACGACATTTTGCCGGAGGCTGGTCCCCGGCAAGTGGCACCCGAAGCAGGGACTTGAAAGTAAGATTTCTTTCCCATGCAGGGACGGCTAGGATCTGCTCCATAGGGTAGGGCGCATATCCCCCTGTAGAGAAAGCAGGGTTGGGGAAGCAGTAAGTCAGAACCATAATAATGCTAGTGGGTGTCTTATTACGTGATAAGGCGAGTGGGTGTCTTATCATTTAGAAGCCATTGGGCCACTGAGTCTAGGGAAAGAGGATTCTTTATTGATATAAGTACACTTGTTAAGACCTCTCATGCGCAATTGGCTAGTTTCCAAAATTTTGTTGTAATGTGTTGTCCTTGGTTTCCAAGGGACGGTACTCTGGATAAGAACCTGGGCCAGAGTAGGAGAGAAAATGACAACCTATTATACTCTCCATGGACCTGAGAAGGTCCCCATAGATGCCTTTTCACTGTGGGGTCTGCTACAGGATATGCTAGATCAAGGGTCTGAATTAGAGAAAATAAATAAAAAACTCAGAAAATTATGGCTGTCTGTATCCCTAAAGAACATCAAAGAGGACTCACCTGATAGCCCTGTATTAACAAAACAATTGCCTGAACAGATAGGTGGTTTTTTTTTTGCCTGGCTGGAGGCAAAATGAAAGATGCAAAACAAAAGGTAAAAAAAATAGCCTGCAGTGTTAGAGAAAGTGATCAGGATTCTTGGGATAAGGAAATTGTTTTTCAAAAGCCAAAAGTTGATTCTAGAGCCAATACTGACCTCTTTGCAGAGGCACCGGCTCCCAATTCTGAGACCATTCCAAAATCCAGCCCAAATTTCCAGCCCGGACTTGGCTAAAATTGTTAAGAGATTAAAAATAAAAACTCAAAAACAAGTAAGATATAATGTGACATGATCTTAAATGCTTCAATCTTTTCCTGTTAATTATTTGGGGAGGAGGCTAGTTTCCCCCAGGTTGAGTTTTGCCATTTGTTTCTTTTAAAATAAATAAATAAATAAGGCATTTCTAAATAATAGTATTCAAAGTTCATTCACAATTGGTAAAGTAATAGAACATGGTTAAATATGAGTATATGAGACTATATGACTATAATATGACTAATAGATTTTTATTAAAATAGTATAAACCCACTGCAGTGGGCGGGTAAGGACTTCCCTGATCTCAACAAGCAGCTTCCTGGACTTTTTCTCCAGTGTTGGGATCACTGGCAGGTCTCTACTGCCTTCCTGCTGTGGGGGAGTGAACTTTTCTATTGTCCACCTTAAAAAACTATTTTGGTTCATTCTACAAAAAAAGTTCTATTTCCCTGTGTTTCTCTGATTTTAAAGTCTAAATTGTCTTAGGCAAAAACTGCTGAGTTACTTTTGACTTGCTAACAAGCTATACAGAATACTTATTGGTTGAATAAAAGCTTTTAAATTTACTTATTGGACCTGTAAAGGTTAAGTTTCTTGTTAAAACTAACTAACCTGGTAAAATATAAAGTGGTAATACAGACATTTTTGAACTAAATTCTAAACCTCAGTATATTCACATATATTGGTAAAATAACTATCTCTTAAAATATATATACATGGCCAAAATTTTAAATGTATATCAAGAGATCTCTGTGTCTGTTTGTGTCTGTCTTTGTGTTTTTGTTTTGTTTTTGTTTTTTACATCCAGAGGACTAATCATAAATGGCGTCTATATAAGTTCTCATAAAAACAAATTTTGAGATCGTAACCCAAAATTTTTGATATACAAGAACTAGTTCAAATTTTATAATATAATTCAAAGCATATATACATTAAAGTTATGTTACATATTAATAATTTACTGTTTAAATGTATCTTTAAAGTGTTTTTCTTTTCTTGACTAAAAAAGGTGTGTGTGTGTGTGTATATATATATACTTACATATGTAAATTTTTTGTCATATTAACTTTACCAAGTGAAACTAAGCTATACTGTTTTTAAGTCAATTTTAAAAACTGCAATGTTTAAGTAACATTTTGGGGTGGCGAACACACAAAGCCCCTCCTTGTGTTCTGGATTACTGAAAAGAAACCACTATCATGATTTGTTAAAAGTTTTAGTAATGTCTATAGAAAAAAAAGCAACTGAGGGATTGTTAGACACCGGTGCTGTTACTTGTATAGCAGGGCATGATTAGCCTAACACCTGGCCCACAAAAGCCACGCCCTCTCCTTTGGTCGGACTGGGATCAGCACAAAATGTGGCAAAAAGTTCTCAAATTTTAAATTGGAATGATGGACAGATGTCTGGGACTTCTCAACCTTATGTTATTCTTTCCCTTCCTATGACATTATGGGGAAGAGATGTGTTATCGCAAATAGGAATATTAATTTTCAGCCCTGATGATACATCACAAATGTTGCAAGTGGGCTTTCACCCTGACCAAGGGTTAGGAAAAAATCTTTATGAGAGAACAGCTCCAATTAAGCCAGTTCCCAGAAGCTCTAAGGCTGGCTTGGGGTACGGTCAAAATTTAACTTAAGGGCCATTGCTCAAGTTGCAGCCAACCCAATCACCTGGAAAGATAATAAACCAGTGTGGGTTGAGCAGTGGCCTCTTACAGAAGAAAAAAAAATATACAGGCTGTAACAAACCTAATGCTGGATCAATTAAAGAAAGGGCATATAGAACCCTCCACAAGTCCATGAAATACCCCAATTTTTGTTGCTAAGAAAAAATCTGAAAAATGGAGACTGTTACAGGATTTAAGGGCAATAAATGTTACTATGCAAGATATGGAACCAGGTTTGCCATCACCTGTGGCCATCCCTAAAGATGAACATGTTATTGTTTATTGATTTACAAGATTGCTTTTTTACCATCTCTTTACATCCCCAAGACTGCAAAAGATTTGCATTTAGTGTCCCATCGGGAAAAGGCCGTTTCAACGGTATGAATGGAAAGTTCTCCCTCAGGGCATGAAAAACAGTCCGACTTTATGTCAAAAATTTGTAGATATGGTTTTGTCATCCTTTAGGCATGAGTACCCTTCCATTTACTGTGTTCATTATATGGATGACATTTTAATAAGTAATGCTCAAGTGGACTTGTTGAATCAGGCCTTGGCCCATCTGGTAGCTTTGCAACAAAGTTATGGACTTGTGGTGGCACCAGAATAAATTCAAACTTCTCCTTCAATTAATTATTTGGGAAGAATTGTTCGTTCTTTAACTGTGTCACCACAAAAACTGCAACTACGAACAGACTCTTTACAGACATTAAATGATTTTCAAAAACTACTTGGAGACATAAATTGGATTAGAGCTCATCTGCAGCTAACCACTGCTGATTTACGCCCACTGTTTGAGGTGTTAAAAGGTGATTCTAATCCCAACTCCCCTAGGCAATTAACACCTGAGGCTACACTAGCCTTACAAAAGGTCAATGATGCACTCAACATTCAACAACTGTTGCGGCTAGATTATACTAAGCCTTGGGAGTTCATAATTTTAGCCACCCCGCACACGCCAACCTGCGTTTTGTGGCAAAAGGGGTCACTGGAATGGTTACATTTACCAGTTACAACAAAGAAGGTTGTTTGTCCCTATGCTTCCCAAGTGGCTGCATTAATTGTTAAAGGAAGGCATAGGAGCTTCGAGCTCTTTGGCCGAGAATTTCCTGTTCTTGTTTTACCTTACAAGAAAGAACAATTTAATGACTTGCTTAGTTTAAGTGATGACTGGCAAATAGCCCTGCAATCTTTCTCAGGTGAAATAAAGTTTCATTTGCCTCCCGACCCTATGCTTCATTTCTTTGAGAAACAGGCTTTTATATTTCCAACCATTGTTAGTGCTGTGCCTTTGCCAGAACCTGCTGCAATTGTGTTTATAGATGGCTCCTCCAATGGTAGAGCTGCTTTCATTATCAATGGCAAACCAGAGTCCATCCAGACAACTGAAACCTCAGCCCAAAAATCTGAAT